AAATTTTTTTTATTAATTTTAGTAACACATTAAGATCCACTTGTCATGATTTGATTAAATACAAATATATTAAGTATATAAAATTAAATACATAAATCCTTTATTAATCCATTAAAAATCATCAAAATTCAAATAATTTAATATTCAAAGACCTTCATTACATGGAATCAGCAGGGAATCTTGTAATAATCGTTCTATTAAAAAATAATCATCTTGCAATGATTCCTATAATGAGGAAGAGAACAAGGAAAGGGAAGCCAATTTCAAGATAGGAAGGTATCTTGCAATGATTCTTTAAAATCTGGACATATATCATTTCAGAATTCTGTTTCTGTGTGCGTGTAACTCTGTTTTAATCGATCAAATAAGTAAAATAATTTGATACACAGAGACGGGTCGGGTCAAAGTAGTGCCATCTCATGCCATATAATGAAACATACATGCCATTTAATTCAGGAAAAAAACAAAAAGATTGGTGGAGTATAGATTTAAATTCAATAACTATATTTAATAAAGGCAATTTGAATTATTAAAATTTAAATTAATGATTATAAATTTATAATAAATAAGTGAGTTTATCTGAACTGTTAATTTAATTTTCAATTACTCAAATAGTACGAGTACTTAATACCTATATTAAATATAATTACTAATTAAATTTAACATGCTATCCGTATATTTAATATTATTTCTAGTTTCTTGCTCCTTCTTTCTTATTCTCACCGTCATTTCATATTAAAAGCATCAATATATCAATAATAACTATGTAATATAAATCTAGTCATCATCAGTGGAATTTCATCTTTAAATTTCATGCTAGGATTTGTTTATCAGTTTTACAAAATATAAACATGTATGGATTTATTTTTTCGCACCTATAAGAATAATAGATTAGAAGCCCATTCATACAAACACGACAGCCAACAAAGACAAATGGTAATAACAAAAGGGAGAATTGCATGCAAGTTCTATTAAGTACAATTAATTATTTTGAGGTCTATTAATAATTGAGTTTAGGAGAATAACAATACAATTCTAAACTCAATTGTCAATCAACCTGAAAGTATTTAATTGTACAGAGTGAGACGTTAAAGTAATTCTCTTAATAGATATAATAAATCAATCATAATATAAATTATGATAAATATTGTTTTGTTTGTTTAGGTTAGTCATATAATATGAGTTATATCTGCAAAATGTCTATGATAAATTGGCTGAAAAAAATTTTGTAACCAGAAAATATGTATTGAATTTCTGAAAATTTGGGAGAATGATATACAAAAAATTTATTGTTTATGTATAAGGATTTTATCATTAAAATTTAAAAATTTATGATAAATTTATCATTGATATATAATAATACATTATTAAAAAATATAATAAATTAATTAAAATATAAAATATAATAAATTAATTAAAATATAAAATATAATAAATATTAAATTATTTATTTGAATCTTATATATGATGACCTATCTTTGTAAAAGCTTCAAAAATTAATTAGAAAGGCACACAAGTGATGCCCGCAGGCCCATAATAAATTCGTACATTTATTTTCCAGTGCGCTGCTCCTTCTCCCTTATCCTCGGCGTCATTTCATATCAAAATATTCCGATTTTCCCCTTCTCTGGCCTTTTTCGAATATTCCTCTATTTCTTTCTCTCTCGCCGCGTTGGCTTCACGTTCCTTCTCCGTCGCCTAATACGCAAAAGCAGAGGCAGTTGTTATGTTTGCAGCTCTGATTTTCATCAATTCACCGTCATCTCGAAACCGATTAACTAGGGATGAAATTCGGAAAGGAGTTCAAGATCCATTTGGAGGAAACCATCCCGGCGTGGAGGGACAAGTTCTTGTGCTACAAACCCTTGAAGAAGCTCCTGAAGCAGGTTCCAACCCCCGGGATCGCGTTTCGCGCTGATATCCTTCAACCCCCAATCAACGTCCCGCCCGTTCCCCCCGTGCAATCCGATGCTGATCAGGATCATCCGGCACCTGCTCCTCGGCCCTATTTGGACCTGCAGGCCTGGTTCATCGTAATTCTGAACGAGGAGCTGAAGAAGTTCAATGATTTTTATATTGATGAAGAGGAAGACTTGGTCATCCGCTTCCAGGTTCTTTTCTTCTCCTCTTGCAGGACTAGGAATTACTTGGGGCATGATAAGTTGGTAGTCAGCATCTTCATTAATTTCAATTAATGGGTAGTTATCAATTTGGGCACGCGTGATTGGATCATTGAAAATTCAAATTTAATGATAAAAATGGGATAGAAACCCCCAATTTTTAAGGAAGTACAGCTGAATAACATCTCTGCTCTGTGTTGAAGTTTACTAGTTTGTTACCACTCTGCCCAATCTAGACACAAACGAAAGTGTTTACATTCACATTAGCTACTCATTAATTGAACTACAAATATATTTATTTTCATCCTTGTTTTGTTCGAAATGGTCTTATGGGAAATTGGTTTTAGCAGATAATATAAATTTAATTGCCCCTAAATCCAAATGAGCAAATCACAAGCCATAAGCACAACTAGATACTCGGAATATTTACTTTGCGGTCAGGGTCCTTGATAGTGTATTCTTTTGCAGTACTGGGCTCTAGGAATGTTACAAGTGTCTCCAATACTCACTATAGGTGACCTTACATGCCTTGCTAATAAATCATTGCCTTCATTGCTTCTAAGTGGTAGTGAAACTTTTCTAAGAACTCCGTGATAATGTGAACGACCTCTTTAAAAATCCTACCCAGCCAATTCTTGATGATCGTGGTTAAAACGTTTGTTTTCTGTTATCATCAATTTGTCTATATTTCTACTATTTGTACTAGATAATTGTCTTTAGATTGTTTTAACTCATGCATGCAGTCTCGACCAAAGGAACATAGAATCTGGTGTCTCTTTATTTCTCTAATCTCCATGGCTTACATATAAAGGCCTCTGCCATTGCAACTTGCATAAGCTACTTATTCAAAGGAGATTAACTATGTGGAACAACTTAATCATTTCTAAATCTAGAAATTTGTTTAACTTGCAGCTTAGCCAAACCTAGATTCCATGTCCCTAGCAAGCCAATCCCAAGCCACATTAGATATTGTGGATTGGTTTTCTCACTTGTTTGGCATGTGGTACGGCATGTTTAAGGTGACTCATGACAATTTATTTACAATGGCAGTTTATATACCTTCAAAGGCATCGATAACAGTCTTACAGACTATAGAGTGAGAGTTTAGATGTCTCTTTGTGCCCCGTCTAATATGCCAAATCTCCTCTTTTATAAACCTTCCAGTTGTGATTATTTCATATAAACATTTAGGTTGAAAAAAAAAATGTCAAGTCTTCATTGCCAAACTTGTTGGGCTTTGGAATTATATAAATATTTTTTCCCTTCCTTATATCTCAAAGTAAGGAATTTAAACGGTTATAGTTTATATCTTACAGCATTAATGATATGGGTTTTCTTCATTGTCATCCTTCCTGCCAGCTAGATGAGCCCCTCCTAGTTTAGTGATATGGAATTTGCAATCTCATAGTTGAATTAGTGAAACGCAAGTTGATATATCCTTCTACTTTTGGGGATTATTTTTGACATCTGAGACATCAATGTATAATGATCAAATGCGTTGCTGAAAAAGTAAAATGGGAATGATTGACTACTTGCTGGAGAATCTTCATGAAGCTGTCTGTTGGAAATCTGTGACACACTTATATTTTACTACCGTAGCCCTTCTTTGATTTTTATCTACAAATCTGACAGGTGCTGAAGGAAAGAATTGAGCGTCTTAAAGAAAAAAGCAGCAGGAATGAAATGTACACGTCTGAAAGTGAATTTAGTGAAGAAATGATGGACATCAGGAAGGACTTGGTCACCATTCATGGACAGATGGTGCTACTTAAAAACTACAGCTCCTTAAACTTTGCGGGTAGGGCATCTAGTTATCTTCTTCTTCTTTTCATTAATCCTGTGTTGTTGATGTGATACAGCTATTGCAGAATTCTCTCTCACCGGCGTGCGCGCGGTGGGGTTGTAGTTAGGGGATTGCTTGTTCTGAAACCATTAACATATTTCTGCTTCAACAGGTCTAATTAAAATTCTGAAGAAGTATGATAAGAGAACTGGTAGATTGTTGCGTCTGCCTTTTACTCAATTTGTTCTTCGTCAACCCTTTTTCACCACAGAGCCTCTGACTAGGCTAGTACATGAATGTGAGGCAAATCTTGAACTGCTGTTCCCCCTTCAAGAAGAAGTAATTCAATATGCTCAGCCTGCTGAAGATCGATCTAAATCACCTGTAGATACTGCAGCAAACACTTCACCTGAGGCATCCTCAACTCTTGGTGAGGAAACTGCGTATTTATATCGCAGCACTCTTGCTGCAATGAAAGCCATAAGAGGCCTTCAAAAAGCTAGTTCCACTTGCAATCCATTTTCCTTTTCAACCCTCTTTAGTAACCAAGATGCTGATAGTACGGGTGCTGTAACCGTTGAAAATTCTCCAGCAGATTCTCGAGCTTCCTTGTGGGATGGGGAAGACACTGATGAAGAGGAAACCTATTCTGTGTAGCACAACTTCTCTCTTAGAGTAGCCTGCCTTCTCATTTTGAACTAAGCAAAATCTGTTGGTGGATATACAATAAATAGCACGTGATGCTAGCATTTGACACTGAAAAATACTTGCTCACCACCTTTTTTGTTCCACTGTTACACTGTGTCTTCACCGACTGGTTATTCTGTGTTGATAGTTTTTTTTTTTTTTTATGGTGGAAACTTGGTGCCTGTTTGAATTTCAGTTTATATCTGGGAAAAGTACATTTGGGAGATTTAATTATTTATTGGATTTGACAAAAGCATATCCGAGGTGTGGTTTGGATATACTTTTGAGTGTTACCTTAATAGGCCCTTAGATATAAACTCTGATGGTAATCTCTGTAGGAGTTGTTACTTAAAAGCATTTGTTCCTACTCTCTAGTGTAGCATGTGTTGCTAGCTGTCATAAGGTACCGTAAAGAAGTTGTTAACAACAAATAACATTGACCTTCATCTGTTTACGTTAGAAATACCCGAGTTGCAGTATGGAATCAAAGTATTGTAATGGATTATGTCTGAGATATGTGGGGAAAAACCAAATTTCAGCTTAACGGATTAAGTCGAGGTTGTACGCTTCGGCATACTCGGGCTTGCCCGGTTCTCAGATCATCCTTAACACTTCTGTTACTATTTCCGGGGACACAAAACCACTAGCTGCATGTTCATGACTTGACATTGACATGTATCCAATTTACCGCACAGGAATTCCTGTTATTTTCCTTCTGACTTCCTCGTCTTTACATTTTCATGGCTGCCTCTTGCACTTCGCTACATCTGTTTACAGCTTATATGGCAGTGTGCTGTTGATCGCCTTCATAGTTAAATGGCAGGGGTACTGACTTGAATGCCCGATACTTTCCTACATTGTTTACGTGCTCGTTCTCCAACCTGTTTACAAACAACCAACAAGTCTTATATAGGAACTGGTATTCTTTTTAATTTTTATTTTTTGACCAGCACCAAGTGGTCATCAGAATACATGGGATTGCAAGAAAACGAGTCTAGCTACTTTTGATTTGTTCATTAACTGACAAATAAGGATAAAAATCACCAGATGGTCTAGCTGCTAATTTATGCAGTTAAGAACAATCGAAAGTGAAAGATATTGCTATGTAATTAATTTGAATACGCTTATGTCATAAAAGTTGCAATTTTCAAACATTATTAAGAGTCATAGTTCTTGAGTATTGTTTACTCGTCATGGAAGACTATGCATTTAATTAAATTACCAAAAGTGACTCTCACTGCCGTGCTTTATTTATATGGTCTTACTGCTATGCATTTAATCAAATCAAGTGGTGTACGTTGTCCATCCCAAGGCCATTCCTATTCCCTTAAATTAGAGTCAGTCCTTTGTGATTCAAGAGAACCTTGACATTCCAAAAATCTAAATTAGCTCTATGATTGTCTTTGTATCCTGTACGGTGTCTGAAGTGCAGGCTCAGCACACTAGAGACTTTCTACTCTCTTTCTTTCCCACGAGAGTACGAAACCTTTCTATTCTTACAATAACCACTAACCATAATCATGTTGCTCCATCGTAAGAAGTTCATTCACTAATTGCAAAACAATACCTGAAGAAATTCCAAATGCCACGACGAATGATCTCCAAGCAATCCACCAGAGTAGCTAAAGCTTTTCTATGCAAGAAAGGGGCTTGCGTAAACCCTAAAACTGATTGCATCCAAGCAAGTCGCAGTAAAACATTCAACGCCTGATGTTTTGTTCATAAACACCAAGCAAATTAAACAGCCCGCAACCAACCCAAATAATGAAAAAAGATTGAACCCTAAAATAACTTACAATAGCAGCAAAGTATACACTTTTTAGAGAAACAGAGAGTTTATCTCTCAACCATGGGTTTCTTGAATCTCGTCGTAACAAACCCCAATCTATCACGATGTCCCAATATGTGTTCATAATGGCAGCAAGGCCTGAAGAAACTGCAGCCAAAATTTTCCATGCCACTAATCTGTTCAATGCCAACTCATTACCAGTCCTCGTGGCTATGGCAAATATTGTTGACATGTACTTAAGCCCATTAAGCCCGTGCATTACATTTCTTTCCTCAAGCACAAATCGTCGAAGGCACTACAAAAATATGTTTCCTGTTAGAGTTACCTAAATCACCAATCCCATGTTTAAAGTCCAGAGTAGCCAAGAAGATACAAGTTGAACCAAGATTTATCTGTCTGTCCTGCACCCACAAAAAAAAAAAAAAGAAAGAAAGAAAGATTTGTCTGTCTGTCAGTTGCATACCTGGAGGAAACGGATCCAGAATGGAATAATAGCTACGATGTAGTGAAATGTTTCATATACTTCATTTTTAAGGCACTCGTTTTTTCGGGTCCTGAAGTTTCCCGAGACATAGTAACAAACATAAAATTCCAAACTTCTGAAGGCCTGCACCTGAACTCAAAAAGAGAGAAGTGTCGGCTCAATATGAATGAAGCAAAATAGGAGAAGCTGTTTGTGGTTTCTCCTTTCTGCATGTTCTATTGCAGTGAGTGTGAAATGTAAGCATAAGCAGTATGTGTGAGATATTAAACCTGGCTGGTAAGCTGGTCTGCCAAGATATTATCTACGAGGGTAACCTACAAACATGAAAAAATCAAGGTATATTTTATCGTTTCTGAAGATTTTAACATGAGCAGATTATGTATCTTTGTATGCTTCGAATTCTTAAATCTCCTTTACCTTGTAAAGAGGAGCACAGATACAATGAAACATGCAGTTGATAAGGAAGAAGCGGCTGTGTTTATACATGATGTTGAAAGGGCAAAATGTGATGATAAGCAAAACCTGTGATACAAATTCAATAGTATAAGTTGACGGCAGACACAGTATATTGAATTGGTCGCTTGTGTTTGGGTAGGCTTTTGCTCTCTACTTACATTGGCATAGACCACAAAGGATCAAATAAATAACGCATAAGAAAGATTGGGAATAAGATGTCTTCTAGAAACTTACAAGAAGAAGACCTAAAGGGATTAATTCTGTAAATACTGAGAAACTTTTTGTTCTGGCGTCCATCTCCATATCCAAGTTTGAGAGAACTGCAGCCATTGTGAGCACCGCGAGGCCAGAACTAAGAAGAAGAACTTCTCTGTAACTCAACTCTGTTCCTTGTTTGAAGCCAAATATGAACGCATAGTTGATTTTGAAACGACGCCAGAAGTATATATTTGCAGAGTAGATGATCATATGCAAGTTTATGAATCCAAATAAACTGCAGACATAGGAAGTTGTCGGTCATATTTTTTAAGATTGCACACATGAATGGTCAAGGCAAAGGCACGAAGGTGTGAAATCACGCAGTAGAATTTCACCAACTTGCCTGTAAAGAGGAAATATGTTTTCCATATAATCATTTCGCTTCTCTGTGTTTTAATTGTTTAAAATGTCTGTTGCTTGAATAATTATAATAAGCGCCACCATGAGAGCAATCAAACAGCCAGTAAAGAGCCCTGATAAATAAAATAGTAAGGATGATACTGTGAGAAAGTAAACTGAAGATTCACCGTTTTTTATGAAGAAACAATTAGAGGAAACTCAAATAGTACTTCTATGACCAAGTCAAGTTTTCCGACAGATTGACAGAAACAGAGGCGTCTGAAAGAATATGGGATCTTAAATACCAAGACATTGAAGTTGTAGCTAGCGCATCGAAGGTTGGTTTGCATGCATCATATGACATGGAAAGAGAATTATTTCAGAGGAAAAAAATTGTAATTTCCGTTTTCACCAGGATAATGTACACCATAGAAAAACAACAAAATGAATATATACATAATCACTTATTGGAGCTCAGCTATTACCCAGGAAAAATGTAATTCTGTGTCGCTCTCTTTTAGCTGCAGGTCTCAATATGCTCATTCCTTTTCTGTGATTCCCATTTGAAAAGTGCTTTATGAAGGCAGCTTCCACCCTTTCCATGAGCCTATTAACCTGTACACGACATGATGAGGCAGGCACCATTTAATTGGGGCAAAATTTGAATAACCAATAGGAGATAATTGCGCGATTTATTTATTGAACCTCATCAGAGCAGCCAACATAAGAATTATCCACCATTTTTAAGTACTCCTTTGAAGCATTCCTTGAACAGATCTGCGGTATTAATAGTCAATGTACAGGGAAACCAAAACACTGCAGCCAGACTCAATCTTTCAAATAAAAATAGGATACCTTGTCATACTTCTTCATGATCTTTGAGAATGCCAACAGGTTCAAGAAGCTGCATACCAACAGAGTTGCATCTTTATTAATCTCATTAAAAAAATTCGACCTATAATTTGAAAAGGGAAGGAGAAAACCATCTCACCTGTAGCATTTTAGAAGCCGAAGCTTATGATAAAACTCTTTGAAGGCCTTGCTTAGCTGTTCCTCTCCCTTCCTTAGTTCTTGTTTGCTGAATGACAATTTAGACGTCGAACTCATGAAGAGCCCTTTTACCGTTGATACTGGCGTTTCAGGTTCAACAAGATTGATTCTGACATGATCCAGGATCCTCAATGGAGGTGGTATAAGGCCATGAGTCGATATCTTAGAAGCAGTTTGTTTTGTACGATTTCCACTTTCATCTTCTACAGGCCTTTCACTGCTCATTTCAACTTCTTGAATCACATCCAAGTGATGATGGACGATACCTTCAAAATGCTCATATACTCAGAGATTTCAAATTGAAATCCTTCTCAAAAGAAAACTGATGCTAATTTCGTGTGTGTGTGTGTGTGTAAGCTCATTGACTCCTTATGATGTTCTTCAGCTACTTTAGTTCAGAAAGAAATACTAAAATAACACATGTAAGCGTACCAGGACTTTCATCATTCACGTGGTGTTCCATGGAATTTGAAGTTGACGAGGAACTATTACTGTCAAGATTTCTGAAACCTCCTACCTTATCCACCTTCACCCTAAGAGCAATCAGGGCATTCATTTGCTTACCAAATTCCTCCGCCTCTTCCATGATTTGCTTCACCTTCATACTGTAGAAGTTATTGACCTTGTTGAACTCAGCATCTAGCTTACTGAAAAACAAAGCCTCTAGTTCTCCCCCTTCTTCAGTGGACTTGAGAAACACTGTCTGGTAAAAGTACAACCTTTCTGACCCTTCTGTCTCCTCTTCACGAGTAAGTATAACCTCATCCTCATTACTGTTCGTCGTCGAACCTCTTTGTCGCCCCGTAAGTCCGCTAAAGGCTCTGTACAGAGTCAATCTTCTCTTCAGAGACCCCTTCGGGGTGGACGCCATTGCCACCGACGGTGCATTTCGCTTCCTGATCCGTAATATGTCCTTGAGAATTCCTTTAAGATAGTTGTAATTCATGTATGCTTTGTGCCATTCTGGCACCATTTGTGAAGCAAACTCTTTCCCGAACTTCATCTCTTCTGCAAAATTAGTGTAGGCAGACTTCAACAGCTCATCTGTGAGCTACAATATATGAGGACATGAAGTGGAAATTCAACTTTCTTGGTTCCGTCTATTTAGTTTGAGAACGCGAAATAAAAGGATCCTTTCACCCTTGAGAGATTTGTTCTGACTAAAGGAAGTCTTCTGCTTTTGTTCAGTGTTAAACGAAGGAAGAAAAGAGAGCTGGCTAATTTCCCGGCTCGACCCCACCCCCATATTACTCAAATGTGTAAAGTTCTTACTAGGAATTTGGGGACCACCAGGCACGCTAGTCCGCGTCTGGAAGTTGCATTGGTTCTTGCTGGTTGATAGTTGGAAGTGAGCAGACCGACCCAAGATCATTGATTATGCAATGAATTGTGTCCTCGTTGCCAATCTCATCTGCATTTGCGTTGTCATTCGAGCAATGCATGCACATGCCTATAACCGTATTTTTATGACGTGATATATACTTTTAAATAGGCTAAAAATCATTTTTGCCCTTAACTGTAGATAAAAAGTTATAATTATTTTTAAATTAAATTATGAGGTAATTTTGTTTCTCAATTTTAAAGATTTCTTTTTTAATTATCCTATAATTTTCTCATTATTAGTTGATCGTTAGTAGATCCTATATTATATTTTTAATATTTTTTTATTATAAAATATTTGAATTGAGGGGCAATAATAACCTTTTAAATAAAAGTTGAGGAGAAAAATGACCTTTAACTTAATAAATAATATTAAAAAAATAGTAAGACTTATTGATGACTAATGGAAGTTAATTGTTTTTAATATTATATTTAAAATTAAGGAACAAAATTGACTCCTAGTTAAATTTAAGAATAATTGTGACCTTTCATATATAATTTAGGGATAAAAATAATGTTTAACTTCTTTCAAATGTTAGCTAAATAGATTGCTAGATATTTTTTTTCTTTTATTTTTTTTTCTTTTTTAATTTTTTTTAGGTATGATGAGTCAATGATGTCCTGATCCTAAGGCGGGGCCGAAAAATTTTATTGGGGGCTAAAGTAACGAAGCATATATATTAATTGAAAAATATATATATATATATATATATCATTAATATAACATAAATATTTTAACACATATATTTATATTTAATTTTATAAATATATAACAAAAATAAATGTATACCTTTATTTTTTAAGTTTTACTTATCAATTTTTCATAGCATAAAAATAATTAATTATTATGTTTATGATAAATTTTTAGTAGTTTCCTTCTCAATATAAACTATCATTAAATTAGTAAAAATTTTATATTATCTATGAATATTGAATAATTTAAATATATCATTAGAATTTAAAATTTTGTTTAATCTATGAAACTCTGTTACTTGCTTATTAAATTTACAATTAAATTCTTTCAATTAATAATTATAATAACTAAATATGTTAACACAGTAATAATCTTTAATTTTTGATAATTCTTTATGTCTATGATATCTAATTATATTATGATAAAAATAATTCATATAATAAATTTCAATACTTTAGTTATAACAAAAAAATTAATTTTCTTTAGAAAAAAAATATTTGAATCATAATTTCTTAATTTTTAGATAAATAATTTTATGATAGGCATCAAACACGTATAATTTAATAAATCTTAAATTTTTTGTTGCACTACTTAACAAATTTATTAATAATAATTTTTATATTTTTTTATTAAATATAAAATGAAAGAAAAAGAAATAGCACCAATGGTTTAAGAGCAAATGTGACATTATTTTGTTCAAAATAAGTATATTTTATAATAATAATTATATTTTTAAACTACTGAACCAGTTGGACTGGACATAATACATGAATAAAAGATTATATATAAAATTAAAATAAAAATTTTATTTACTATTTCAAAACTTTTGCAATGTGTCATTATAGGAAGTTGGAAATATATACTCATATTGAAAAAAAAAAAAAAATAAAGGGAGTCGTTGTTCCTATTGGACTCGTCGCCATCCCCGGTCAGTTTGTTTCAAGTACTCCCTTATGTCATTCTAAAATTTAAACGACGCGAATTATCTTGGGTTCCACGCAAAACCGTTGCACACGACACAAATCGAAGAAAAGGGATCGAAATGCACTCCATAATTTTAGGGCATAGATCCAAGCTTTCCTTTTCGACCGCCATAGATCCAAGTTTGAACTTTGAATAATAAATCACACCACCAATTCAGTCTCTGCCATCCTCGTTGGCCCGCACTCATATGTCTCCGCTTATTCTCACTGTTAACATGACGTTTCCTTTAAATAAAAAAATTGCATGGCTACAAATTATGAATACCATGACTCCAGTTAGCTTCGTGCAAGTATATCAGCCTCACATTATATATATATATATATATATATATATATAAGTCATCACAAAGCTGGAGAAACGTTCGCATTTAGTGGTTGTCTTTTATAAGAAAAGATCTAATTACTAGAGCTCCTCTCATGAACCAAAAAATTGTGCTAGACTCAAACTTCATCTTTTCTGCTTTAGTAATGCCAGACAAAAACTTGGACCCTCCTGCTTCATCGGAAGAAGTTGATTTGCTTAAAAGAAATGTCACAAAACTTGATGAATAAATGGTGGACGGGGTCAAGATTCCATAGATCATCTAAGTAAACATCATTCGTCAGAAAATATTAACACAAAAAATTCTGATCAACCAATGGATATACAGGCAAATATTAGAGAGACTCAAGATGAAATTACAGGGAAAAAGAATATGATCAATAGGATTAAAGCCTTCAGAGCTCCAATTTCATACAAAGACTCACCATCGGATATAATGGTTGTTTCAGGATTAATGAGGCCAGAGACACAAATTACATCAATGACACTTTTGCTAAAAAACTTGAACAGGAATGGGTACCCACAGAGACAACCAAAAAGCTGATGACGAGGTTTTCGATGGTATCTATTTCAAATTAGGAATGAAAAAATATCTGCCTTTTTTGGATGGATGCTTTTGTTATCAATACTCTTGGTATACAAATTCATCCAAGATTGCTCAAACCCAGGTTATCCAAGATGTGGAATCTAAAGGACTTTGAGCTAATTGATTTAGTAAATAATTACTACATTGTGCGTACAAGAATACTGAAGCTTATGAAAGAATACTCAATAGTAGACCATGGACCATTTTTTATTATTGCATCCTTGTCCTGAGATGAATCCTCAATTCAATCCAAAAACTAATTCTTTGGGGAAAGTAGCCCTATGGGTTCGTTTAACCAATATTCCCATTCAATGTTATGATAAGGAAATATTCTGGAGAATGAGAAATTGTATTGGAAAAACTCTCAAAGTTGATGCTAGCACTCTCTCGGATGCTGAGATGAAAGATGCCACAGGCAAAACCGAAAGGGAAAAATTTGCTAGAATTAGTGTCAAGATAGATCTACAAAAGAAACTTGTTCCTAGATACTCATCAGGGATGAATTGTTCAATGTTGAATATGAAAGTCTGAATCTCATTTGTTTTAGGTGTGGCTGCTATGGACATAATAAGAACATCTGCCCTTTTAATCCCAAGACCAACCAATCAAAAACAGAGGAGAAGTGTACTCAGCTAGGAAAATCAGATTTGAACCAGCCTTTAAAACATATCGGAGAACAAGGGATTTTGAACAAGCTATTAGATAAAGGATCATCGAAAAAGGCTCAACAATGCATACCGAAGGAAGATTGTGGTGAGTGGATGAAAGTCTGGCGTCACAACCACACCCGATTTTTGAGATTCATAGCAGATACAACAGCTGATCGCAAAAACCTCTCACATCTCCCATATCGAGGTACGAATATCTCTACTAAATCTCATTTTGATATGCTCTTTAACCTTGACCAGGTCTGTTAAAAAAAATAGTATCATTCAACTTGTTAAGAAGGTCTTCTCGAATCCTACTACTATTAGCGAAATCAATCACACCTTTATTACCCTTATCCTTAAAAAAAAACCCTACTTGCATGAGGCACTTTTAGCCAATATCTCTCTGCAATGTTAGTTACAAAATTATCACCAAGCTTTTCTCCAACAGGTTATGAAAATATATGAATCACTTGATTGGAGACAATCAATGTAGCTTCTTATAAGGAAGATAGAGTAGTGATAAATCATCATCGCTCAAGAGATCATTCACTCTATAAGAAATAAAGGGGAAAATAAGGGCTTCATGGCTTTCAAAATTGACCTTGAAAAGGCTTTTGACAAACTCTTTTGAGATTTCATTGATGATACTCTTCATATTATTAGAATAAATGATAATTTCAAAAAACTCATTATGGTAGCCATCTCTACCACTCGCATAAAAGTTTTATGGAATGGTGAACCAATAAATGAATTCACACCAACTCATGGCATTAGACAGGGATACCCTCTTTCAACTTATCTCTTTGTTCTTTGTATTGAACGATTAAGTCACAGCATACTTAGTAGCATTGATAAAAAAATTGGAAGCTTATTAGCCTAACAACTAATGACCCTCCTATCTCTCATCTGTTTTCTATTGATGACTTATTTCTTTTTGCAGAATCTTCTCTTAATCAAGCTAGGATCATCCAGCAATGTCTTTTTAACTTCTACAATGCTTCTGGGCAAAAAGTTAACAACGTCAAATCTAAGATTTTTTGTTCCAAGAATGTTAATATCAATAGAGTTATCCAAATTAATGTTGAATTAGGAACTCCCTTAATTGGAAATCTCAAAAAATATTTAGGGATTCCTATTATCTATGAAAGAATTTCTAAGCTTACTTTTGCCCTGCTGATCGATAAAATTAATTCTCGATTCTCAAATTGGAAAAGTCATTATCTCAATACTGTTGGAAAAGCTGTTCTTATAAAATTTGTTCTATCCTCTATTCCTAACTATGCTATGCAAACCATGCTTTTACTAGATAATGTCTTGAATGATATGGAAGCCCACTCCCGCAATTTTCTCTAGGATTCTACTGATGGTACTGAAAAACCTCATCTCTTATCTTGAGATTATATCACTAAGGATCGCAAGCATGGAGGCCTCAGCTTTAAAAAGCTTAAAAGTCAGAACAAGGCTTATATTATGAAACTTTGTTGGGGTATCATTACGAAACCTAATTATCTTTGGGTTCATGTTTTTCATGATAAGTATAAATGCAATAACCCTATCATTCCTATGGTTTGCAAAACTAACTCTTGCTTTTACACGTGGTTAAGCATATGTAAACTTTGGGACCAATTTATTACTCATGTGGGTTGGCGGGTAGAAAAGGGGGATCAAATATCATTTTAGTATGACAAATGGTGCCCCCTTCCTGAACCTCTTGTGAAGTACATGTCTTCTAATGCAAATTCTATTCTACATGTGAAAGTTTCAGATTTTTGTACTAGTACAAGTACCTGGAAGGGAGCCCAACTTTATAGATATTTGCACCATGATATTATCAAGCAAATCATTACTGTCCAACCTCCATATCTCAATACTTATGATGACACTATATGTTGGAGGCCTTCCAATGATGGTAGTTTCTCTATCAATTCGGCTTACAAGGCTATTGAAAATCATTGCAACAATACCAACTCAAAGATTTAGTCCAAGATTTGGAAATGGCTGACCTATGAAAAGATCAAAACCTTCCTCTAGAAGGCTGCTTAGGACCGCATACAACCTAAATTCACTTGCTTAGATGGGGGTAATCCTTGTCACAGAATATGCCCTTTTTGTTGTAATTCTTTAGATTCAATTATACATACTTTGAAAGATTGCAAGAAATCAAAAGATGTTTGGTTAAAATTATTAAAACAATCCAAAATTAACACATTCTTTTCTCTTCCTTTACAAGATTGATTAATTTGAAATGCTGAGAATGATGTAGAAAATGCTCGAGCAAGGAAGACTTCCTAGCTATATGTGTTAGAACATTTGGAAAGAAAGATGCAAAAATGTCTATTCCGAAGAAGACAATCAAGATAGAGATATTACTTTCATTAGTATCTAAGATATTATTAGTGCTTAATACCTCCAATCTAATATCGAATTTCTCACTCAAAAAGGGGATAGAACTAAAGCTAAATGGCTCCTCCCTAAGGAAGGATGGATTAGGTTAGATACTTATGGCTCCGTTAATTTTATTGGTACAGCTTTTTGTGGCGGTCTCATATGAAACAAACAAGGCAACTGGATTAAAGGCTTCTCCAAATATCTTGGATATCACCTAAGTACAATTGTTGAACTTATGGGTATCTTGAAAAGACTTAATATCTGCTAGGTTAAAAAATTTAACAAAGTTAATGTCTACTCTGACTCAACTAAAGCTCTATCGTTAATTTGCAATGAGTTCTCTACCAATCACCTTCTATCTGCTACTATCAATGATATCAAAGATCTCATTATGCGAGATTGGACTGTTACCTTTGATCACATCTTTAGAGAAGTGAACACATGCACTGACTAGTTGACCCATCAAGCCTCTACCAATAATTTTAATGTATTCATTTTTGACACTACACCTTATGGTTGTAGGAATTTTTTGTACGCTGATATGACTCAGCACGTCAGTTAGCACAGTCTTTCCGCAGCCTCCCATTAAAAAAAAGATCTAATTACTTAAGAGAAATCAATATATATATACTCCCTCCATTAAAAAATATAAAGCATATTTAATCGAATTTCATTTCTCAATAAAGTAGTTATCTACTTTTAAGTTAATCCTATCTTTTCATATTTACCTTTATTAAACATCTTACAATAAATATAAAGTCATTATTAATATGGGCACTTTTGAAAAAAAGACAATGATTACACTTTGAAAGATTAAAAATACTTTACATTTTTAAACATCCAACTCCTTAAAAAAATACTTCATATTTTTTAACAAAGGGAGTATATATCACCATATTTTGCATGTACTCCATCCGTTTAAAAATATAAGGCATTTTTAATTGAATCGAACCTCTCAATAAAGTAATTATCTAATTTTAAACTAACTTTATATTTTTATATTTACTCTTATTAAATACTCTAGAATAAATATAAAGTCATTATCAACAGGGATACTTTTGAAAAAAAGGTAATAATTATACCTCGAAAGACTAAAAATACCTTACATTTTTTAATATCAAACTCCTTAAAAAATATCTTACATTTTTAAACGGAGGAAGTATATTTCTAATAGGAGAATAATAAATAAGTCTTAGCATATTAAATTAATGATAGTTAGATTATCAACAAATTTTTTTAAAAAATAAGTTAAAAATATTGATTCAAGTAATTATAAATTTAAAATTTTTAATTATAAATAAATATTTAAATATTAAATATAACTATTAGATTGTAACTGAAATTTTTGCTTGTAATTATTTTAAATTGATATTTATAAATTATTTTTAAAAAAATTGTTGAAAAATTAACTTTTATTAATACAACATTTTGAAACCCATCATTCTCCCTTCCCAATATGCACTAAGTTTGTTTATTTTCAGTTTTTCACTGGGGAAAGTGATCAATTTTTTACAAACAACTGCATTTTTAATCTGAACGAGCATGTTAACCATTGGATTGGATCTCACCTCAAACTGACATGGCAAATACTGATTGGTTCCAAGGACGGATCACCCTGAAACCGGCAGTAATTAGTAAATTGACAGAACTGAATGCGGTTGTTACTTTTCGCATTTCTCCGTTTCGCGTTCACTGTAGCTCTTGTCCGATACCGTTTTGATGTGCATCGTGACATCGTCCCTCACCTCACGGTATCGCTCTGCAAAACCTAAGAACTCCTCCTACCAGATCTCAAATTGTCCTAACAGACGATTCACCAACGAAATGTCCGAGTTAAATCTCCTTGTAGCTCTCACCCTAGCATTCATGTGTTGCTTCGGCAGTGCGATGAGACTTGAGCTCCGTTCCGGTCACACCAAATGCATTGCGGAAGACATCATGAACAATGCGATGACCGTTGGCAAGTACTTTGTCGTTAACCCAAACGAGGGGTCTCCTCTTCCTGATTCCCACAAGATCACCCTCAAGGTAAGCCAGCGATTCGTTTGGATGTGTATGTATTAATTCCTTTTGTGTTCTTGTTCAGCCCTCTCTTTCGGTTATGAATCAATTATTGTGGTGATTAAACTAAGATATGCTTTTTAAGTCAAGGGAGAATGACAGATAGGTTTAAAAGGATCAATTAATTTCAATTAGTTCTGAGTGTCAAATTTTAATTTTATAATTTTATTATGATAAATTTATAATTTATTTTTTAAATTTTAACATGGTTGACAGATAAATAAATTTATTTTTTCTGTTAAAATTTGAAACGCAAGTTGCAACAAAACTGAGAGCTGAACACTTATAGATTCTTAGAGTTTAATCGATCATTCTCCCTTAAGTCTAAAGTGAGAGAAGTTTATTGGAAACAATATGGAAATAAATTCAGTTCATTCACAAATGGCTCAGCGTTCTATTTTTTGACAGGTTTCTTGTATCATTCTTAATTAATATTTTATGCTTGAATTTCCATATAAATAAGATAATTGGAAATGCTATTACCAAAAATACAAAAAATATTGGATTCTTGAAGGATTGATTTAGCTATAATATATTTGCCAGGTGAATTCGCCTCAGGGGAACAGTTACCACTATGGGAATCAAGTGGATTCAGGTAATTTTGCATTTACTGCAGCTGAGGCTGGTGACTACACGGCTTGCTTTTGGGCACCTGATCACAAGCCCGCTGTAACTGTGACCATTGAACTCGATTGGAGAACTGGCGTAGCTGCCAAGGACTGGTCGAAGGTTGCCAAAAAAGGACAAATTGAAGTAAGCAGTATCTGACTTCACGTTTATATAAGTACGATTTGTATCATTTTAGCATTTTGAGCTGTCACAAACTCATGTAGTAGTTATATTGCAATGCTTTTGTTAATTTGAACTGGTGGGGTAGAGTGTGTATGTATTATTTCTTTCAAAATGTTAGCTCTTTGTGAAGCCTTTTTCCCCGGCTGTAATAAACAACAATTCCCCACCCCCCCAAAACCTCCCCCAACACGCACGCACGCACGCACAGCGACTCAGATAGCAGCACATCTGAATTTTAGTTTAGCTTGCTTGATAGAGACTGAAAGTGGAGCCAGATTTAATGTTATGCAGTTAAAAATGTTACGTTTGCATACAGCATACAATATTTTGGTGTTCACCTCGACATGTCAAACTCCATAATAATGAATTATTTCTTTGATCATTGTTCATTCCAATCTGTCCTTGTAAGTCTGTATTATGCCTACATATTTGGAATGAATCCTACGTTGAGCTGATCCTAAGATATAAAAATATCGTGATGGCATTTTTTTTTTTTAACTTATGTAATTTATAGGATACTTTCTTTTTTCTTTGAAAATCTATTTATTTTGATTGTTCGTGGTTGCTAATGTTCGTTTTCTTCTCATCTACCAGGCAATGGAATTTGAGTTAAGGAAGTTGTATGAAACAGTTGCATCCATCCACGATGAGATGTTTTATCTTCGTGAAAGGTACAATAGTCATAAACTCTGCCTGGTTGGCTATGTCTTGATGTTTGCCTTTGGTGATCTTTTGATAGGAAAAGTAATCATTAGTTTCCATTCAAAATTTGTCCAAAATGGAAATATATGGAATATATTGTTGTTTGGTTAGAAGAAAAATAAAATCTTCTGTTGATAGAATTCCCTCTACGTGCATATGTTATCCTATTAGCTTTTGCATGGCCTAACTCACCATTTAAAACTATTATTTTAAGGATTCATGCTTTTTTCTTCTTGAAAGAGAACTAGAGATGATCTTTTACTTGATAGCCTTGGTCTGGAATCTGAATATCTGCAACAAACTGACTAGCAAGAGTGTATCTAATGTGAATAATCTTTTCTTCTTGTCTTTTTCTCCCAAGGTGTTACAAAAAATCGTCCCTGGAGTTTACTTCTCTTTTCCCTTAGCATGCATCTAATCATTTATTGGCTAGAGTGCATTTGAAATTTGCTGTCGTATTGTACCAACATTCTTCACTCTTGTGTTCCAAGTTTATGAATTAAGTTCATTCCTTAAATGCTACACTAAGTAAGCTATGATGGCCACCAAGTCATGGAAGGAAAGAGGGTACTTTTCTGTGTGTGGCCAAAGACAGGCTTCTAATTTTATTTGAGTTTTCGAAGGTAAAATGTTTGTATTCAAATGATCACCTATCCTATTGGGGTGTAATAATTTTATTTTTTGGTGAAGCAGAGGGGCTAAGGCTCGCTCAACCGAAGAAGCGAAGCAAAACAGAAGGGAATTAAATTGACGCTGCTCTTATGTTTTTTCCTGGTGTTTAAGATTTTTTTTGATTGTTGATTAAAAAAAAAACATTATGAAATTATGCAATCGAAGTAACCAATTCATTTAGTAGGATAAGGCTTGCCATCATCATCGCTGCTGTGTGAGAATTTATTCGTTCTTATGTCAGATTTATCACTTGATTTAGGAACTCAATATCCATTTGAATGATATAGGGAGGAAGAGATGCAAGACCTCAACAAAGCCACCAACACCAAGATGTTTACCTTCAGTTTCCTTTCGATTCTGGTTTGCTTGTCCGTGGCTGGTATGCAATTATGGCATTTGAAGTCGTTCTTTGAGAGGAAGAAGCTCCTATAAGTTCTTCCCCAGGGTTTTTATTCTCTAAGTTTCATGGGTTATTATTTCCAGTTGATTGGTTGTCCAGATGTATGATACAGTTTCAAAATCATATAATTTTGCAATCCAATCATTAGGATTCTATAACCATCATTTTAATTACATCGATGGTATGAAACACTAAAATGGTAGATATTATGAATATTTCCCAGTGTCTTTACTTATTATATGAATTCCCATTTGGTCTGAGTTCTGGTTTCATAATTTTCTTATCCCATGATGGATAAAAGTGCGTTATAATCTTTTGTCACATTTGAATCTTATTCTGCAATTATGGCGAAATCCCTCCAAATCCTCCCAATTTGGTGGGGAGGGTTTGGAGTGGAGGGAACCCCTCCCCTTCAATCAGGGGGTAAAGGATAGGGTTGCTAAAGAGAAGAGTTTACAACTATACATCAAGCCATTGTGCACAAAATAGATCACTTTACAAATCCTGTAGAGACTAAGCAAATTTTTTTTTTTTAACAGGATTTAAATTTATAGTTAACATAATCACTTTCTTTCTCATATAAGAGATAAATACAGAAAGAAAGAAATACATACATAAATCTAAATCTGGAGGTGATAGAGACATATTTTCTCAAAACTAGTCGGAGGTGAGCGAAACAGTCTCACCAAGAAGAGATGAGTAAATAATAGCTCAAGTTACTTCATGAGGAAGCGCTTCTTCCATCAGTAATCAGTAATGCATTTGAATTGACGATTCATGGTTCGCTTGCCGCCATTACAGCAATGGCATGCTACCACCAATATTGCAGCAACTCTAGCTGGCATGGCGGAGTCCTGTGCTTCCATCGCAGAGCTCAAACGTATCCATGCCTATGCTCTCCGTACACATCTCCACCAACACGCTGTCGTCCTTGGCAAGATGTTCCGCTTCGCTGCTGTATCACCCAGCGGCGACTTAGTTTATGCTCATCGCCTCTTCTCTCAAATCCTCCAACCAACCACTTTCTTCTTCAATGTTCTCATACGGGGCTACTCCAAGAGCCCATCGCCTTCGCATTCCATTCGATTATTCAACCAAATGAGGCAGAACTGCGTAACCCCAGATGAATATACCTTCAATTTCCTACTCAAGTCGCGGTCAAGAATGAACTTAACGGACCCACTTTTAACTTTGGCTTCCGACGAGATACACGGTGCTGTGTTGAAGTTTGGGTTTTCTTCCCACCTGTTTGTTGATAACGCGTTGATTCATTTGTACGCTGTAAGGGGAATGCCACTCTTAGCGCGTCGTGTCTTCGAGGAAACTGGGGGTGTCGATGTTGTTTCATGGTCAGGATTGCTTGTTGCTTACGTGAGAGCTGGCGAGTTGGAGGTTGCACGACAGGTGTTTGATGAAATGCCCGAAAGGGATGTAGTTTCATGGACCGCCATGATCTCCGGGTATTCCCAAGCAAAGCGATCAAGAGAAGCATTGGATTTATTTTGGAAAATGACACACGCAGGAGTAGGGCTTGATGAGGTTACTATGGTGAGTGTGATATCTGCTTGCACAAATTTGAGTGATGTAGAAACAGGACGTATGATTCACCAATATATATGTGAGAATGGGTTTGGTTGGATGGTCTCACTCTGCAACGCACTAATAGATATGTATGCAAAATGTGGATGTATGGAGCAAGCTTGGCTAATGTTCAACAATATGAGCAGGAAGAGCTTGGTTACATGGAACACAATGATAACAGCAAGCGCGAACCATGGGAGTGCTGAAGATGCATTGAAGTTATTTGAATGGATGATAATTTCTGGCGTCATGCCAGACGCCATCACATTTCTGGCCCTTCTGGTTGCATGCACCCATAAGGGATTAGCTGATGAAGGTATAAGAGTATTTGAGATCATGCAAAGGGACTATGGAATTGAAGCCAGGGTCGAGCACTACGGATGCATGGTAGATATGTTAGGGCGTGCAGGGAGATTAGAGGAGGCATATAATCTACTCACAAGCATGCCAATTCCAAGCAATGATGTTGTATGGGGTGCATTACTTGGTGCCTGCAGGATTTATGGTGATGTAGATATGGGGGAGAGGGTTATGAAGAAGTTGTTGGAATTGAAACCAGATGAAGGAGGATACTATATTCTGCTCAGAGATATCTACAATGCTGCAGGTCGGACTGTGGAGGCCCATGGCATGAGGGAAGCAATGTCCGCAAGTGGAGCTAGAAAATCTCCTGGTTGTAGTTGGGTGGAAGCTTCAAGTTCATAATCATAGATGTCTTCTTCGGTTTTGTTCCCACTTAAGTACACAATAACCTATGAAAACGACATCATATAATTCATTTTTCAGATATGCATCAAGGAAACAAAATAATTTCAGAGAATGGAAAATCAACTAAAGCAACGTTTGGCGTGAAGCATAGAGGTGGAAAATAGACCAGAAAAACACAGGCACGATTGATCCACAACCATGTCAACCACATTGTTTTACCCCAGGAAAAAACTTTTCAGTATGAGGAAGGAATAGTAATTCCTTTGGTAGATTGATTGTGAAATATCAATTTGACAATGTGTATTAGATGTCAATACTTCAAAATTTAAATAATTGTTTTGAGGCATTTTGATCTTTTGTAAAATATTCTTTTTTATTCATTTATTATTATTATTCCATCAAACTTTTTATGTGATTTCAAACATAATATTAAGTATGAGGCTCTATTCTATTCTCGTTTTTCCTTTTAAAAATGTTTTGCTAAGAAATATTTGCATTTTATCAACTAAATCAATCCATCTATTTAGGATTTCTTTATAACTTAAAAGCCAAACAACACCAACGGTTCATGCTGATAGTTTATTTTTATTCAAGTACAGACTTCACAGACCACAATAACAGTAACACACATGAAGGCAGACATGCCCAAACCGATCACTTAGAAAGGCACACATGGCAAGGCAAACCACAACACTCCACATTAACATGGCTCAGATGTTTATTTAGTAGGTAATTCTGGAATGACTTCGATTCTAAAGCTGAATCTCCAATTTCCTGCATTTTCTAGAATCTCCAATTTCCTGCATTTTGATTACTCATCATCGTAACTCTTGTGGTGGTGATGCTTGTAGCGATGGTGCTTCTTCTCATCATCATCATCATCGCCGCTATCATCTCCCTGCCAAGAAAGGAACATAGAATTAAAACCAATATTGAACTGGATTCCCTCATATAGCCTACATGAATTACTAAAAGCAAATTAATGGGTTGCAGGAATGCATTTCATAGAAACCCTGGATACTGTGCGGCAATATCCTCGAACCCAACCATGTTTCCGTATTACCAATAACCACAAAGGAGTTCAGAGGGGGAAATTTCTTATTCAACTTAAATTATGCAGGAAAATATCAGTTCCTACATTTTTCTCTACCAAGCCCTTCCAAAGAATGTATAGTTGAATGCATATGCACCAAAATACTGGCCGTTAAATCATCATACGTGCAGACATTCTTTTGGTAACTATAGGTTCTTTCCCATGTGCTTGGACGTCGGGACTAGGGTTGTGAGAAAATGCAATGCTATTCCATTACTTATGCAAGAGAACACCAAGACAAAGCAAACGTCAATAAATTGTTCATCCAAACCATTGATGAAATGATAAATGTCGCTGCAGAGGTAGGGAAAAGTTCACTCATAAAACAGTCAAGAGATCAAGGGAAGTGATCATATCACATGCAGATGCAGTGCCAACTCGAGTGGAGATGATGCATTACTAGTGTACACCCAAAATAACCAAGGAACAATCCAGATACGACACAAGAATGCAAACAAAACAACTAGTCAGGCATCTTTCATGTTTTATAATCATGTATCACAACTATTCTTAAATCTGCTTGTGCCAAAATAAAAATAACAAAAAGATATTCTTTGTGGATACTTCATGCCTTTGTAAAAAACTTGACCAGGATGATCAAATACACCAAACACACATCAATTTACCTAAAGTCATATTAAAAAGTAACCAGGATTATATGCAATCTTCTCACTTCAACATACATACAAGGTTATCTAACTGCTATCTTCACTTGTGATTTATGTTGAAATGGACGGTTGGACCCCAGGTACAGAATCAAACCAAAGACATAGTAAAACATGTCATCAGTATCTGATAATAATCATGGATGTTAGGCCTGATAACGCAGCAACAGATGCAGAGTCCAAAGAGTTCTTACTTTCCCATGAAGTAGGGGTAGGAGTTGAACCAACGAGATTAAAGACACTCAATTTCTGGCAAGTGAGTGCCAATTGAGCCTAAAATGTTACTACCAGCATGATATGTGTTATCAAAGCATAAGGAGGAAGAGTGCAAAATTATTTGATAATCTAAAGTTGCTTTAGCCAACGGTCTTAAATTGGCCGAGAATAAGACCCTATGTAGTATGTACCCGAGAATTTTTTAGTTTTAAAACTAGCTAACATAGTAAGTCTGAACATAACATTACGATTCCAAGGATCTAAGCAAACAGGCTCAAGCTTCACTCGGCCACTTCAACGACTTTGCAGAACCAGAAATCACAAGGTCGCTCAGGTATTAGTAGTAGTTCAATAATGCAGCGGAGTACTTACATGTTTCTTACGTCCATAGCCATACTTACGAGGCTCATCATCATCATCATCACGCCTCTCATAACTAGGCCTGCTGTACTGCTCCTCTGAGCGCCCATGGTCATATTCTCCCCCTTCCTGGCTCTCATGAGTTGGCCTTCCATAACCTGGTCTCCTCGGCGGCTCATCCTCGTAGTCAGGCCGTTCAGTTCTTCCCCCATAACCATATCCTCCACCCTCTCCCTCCCCGTAGCCGGGCTTGCGACCATAACCGGATCCATATTCAGATTCGCCTGTCTCATACTCAGTTCTTCGTCCATAAGCGGATCCATATTCTGAAGTGGGTGCCTCATATTCGGACTTCCGCCCATACCCAGACCCGTATTCCGAAGTGGGTGCCTCATATTCCGGCTTCCGACCATACCCAGATCCGTATTCCGAACTAGGCGCCTCGTATTCCGGCTTCCGACCGTATCCAGATCCATATTCCGAGGGGGGTGCCTCGTACTCCGGCTTCCGACCATACCCAGATCCAAACTCCGAAGGGGGTGCCTCGTACTCCGGCCTCCGACCATATCCAGATCCATATTCCGGAGGGGGTGCCTCATACTCCGGCCTCCGACCATACCCTAATCCATAATCCGAACTAGGCTGATCGTATTCATTCTTCCGACCGTACTCAGATCCGTAATCCGAACTGGGTTGATCGTACGCACTCTTCCGACCATACCCAGTACCGTACGCTGATCCCCCGTAATCTGGCCTATTCACATCAGGCTCGAAGCCATGAGCAGGCTCAGGCCTCTTCCCGTACTGGCCTCCAGGTTCTCCACCCGGATTGAATGCCGGTGCAGGCCTGGGCTCGGGACGATCATAGCTGCTGTACTCAGTATTCAAGGCATCTTCATTATAAGCAGATGGTTCAGCATAGGACTTATATTGTGGACGATCATAGTCAAATTCATCAGAAGTCGAAGATGAGATCGGGTAGCAAGTCTCAGCAGACGGAGGAATGGGGCGACCATAGGTGAGAGTAATGTCGTATCCACCACCGTATGGCGTTGGATCGTACTCATCAAAGTCGTCCACATCGTCATCGCCCCTGGAATAGTACGGCATTTGGGGAAGTTAGCTGCTTACAGTTCTGAAGTTGTATCTCTGATCTCAGTGCGGTCACTGACTAGGGATCCGCCGTGATTTTATAGCTGCCTGGGAAATGGCTCCTAGGCCCCTTCAAGACGACGCTTCATCAAAATGAGCAGTAGACGACAAGATGTGGATTCTATTCCCCCCGGGGGCGGTTTTCCCGCAGAAAACGTTAAACGACGAGCCGTTTACATGTGGAACCCGCTAGCTTTCTGTGTGGACCCGAGATAATATCTAACAATTGGCTAAGGTTCAAAATACAGTATTGAACATTAAAATTATTGCTTAAGGCCTATGGGCCCTACATTATTGAAGTCCAGAGGCGGTCCAATCTTCTATTGCCAAAATTATATACTTAAGTGGCAAATAAAATATCTAAAAGAATAAAATAGTACTTTAAAATTCTTAAAAAATTTAATTTAATTTAATACGCTGAATTTTAAGGATAAAACCGAGACAAATGATCGAAATTACCACTGTAAATAAACATGAGTAAGATTTGTATATTTCATACTTAATATATTTATATTAAATTAAAATATATTAGGTGAATTTTAATGTATTAATTTAATTATTAAGAAAAATTTATTAGAAAAAATGATTTACAAAAAAATTATATAAATTTAATTTGAATATAAACATAAGTGTATATAAGTTTTTTACCCTAAATAATTATGGTATATTTTCCGCAATTTTGGCACGGCCAAAATGGACTGGAAGCACAAAGCAAAATTCGGAAGAGGCTGTTCCGCCGCACACGAGCAATCGATCATTACCCTTCTGCGAGGCAACACATTTCATTATACCACGAGATGACAGAGCAATTCTTACTTAACATTAAAATTAGATTTTCGAGGTTAGATTCTCTGTCCGCATAACTTTTTGCGAATGATTCTTTATTTGCGTTATCTCTTGGCTGTTGATCTCAGTCGCCGCTATATTGTAATATAGGTCAAGTTTACTCTCCATACTCTACACTCAGAAACACTAGGAAGATCCATCAGATTTCCTGAGAATTCAGAACTACAATGGCAGCTCGTGTAATCACGGTCTCACAGACCGGAAGCGGAGACTATCTGACGGTGCAGGAAGCAATTGATGCCATCCCACTGGGAAACAACCGTCGGACGGTGATTCGAGTGTCTCCGGGAATCTACAAGCAGCCGGTGTACGTGCCCAAGACTAAGAATTTCATCACACTGGCTGGTCTGTGCCCGGAGGATACTGTGCTTACCTGGAACAATACCGCCATCAGAATCGAGCACCACCAGGTGGGTTAGCATGGATCTCGTTCAGCTCATACAAGTTTAAAGTGTTTTGTTTTTGTTTTTTTTTTTTGTACAAGTAGGAATTGTCCCTTTTGGCGGTGAATTTTTCTGCAGGCTGCCCGGGTAATAGGCACGGGTACTTTTGGCTGTGGTAGTACCATTGTGGAAGGAGAGGACTTTATTGCCGAAAACATCACGTTCGAGAATTCGTCCCCTCAGGTAATGCGTGTAAAATATTAGTTATCGGCGAGCTTCGTTGTCATCGCTTGCAATTTGGGCCTATCTAGGATAAACTAGCTATCATTAGTTTGGCAAATGTGCATATATGACATATGAATAAAGTTGATTATTGTTACAATCCTGTGTTAGCATTCGAAATATTCAATTTATGATCTATACATAAAATTGTGGACCAAGGTGTCTGTTCTTGCATAAACTTCGAAATATTTATGATTTACCATCGTCAGCAAGATACACAGTTTATACTCTAGTTGTCTTTTTTACACTTGTGGTTGGAGTCGTCTCCTTACTAACAAATGCAATCTTTATTTCACGGGGAACTGGTAGTTTGAAGTTTCACATTTTTGAGGTTTTGAGTTTGCTCAAGAATCGTGGTGGAGATTTATTATCATTATTTTTGCCACCAGTCAAAGATGATGCTATAAGTTTTTTGTGTGATCATGTTGGTATGTGCATCCAAATTTTGAATAGCATCTCCTGAAGCGATTAGCAGATGGAAATTAGTTGTTAGCTCATAGTTTTTCCCTTTTTCCCCCCTTCTCTTTTTGGCAGGGTTCAGGGCAAGCGGTGGCAATTAGAGTGACAGCAGATCGATGTGCCTTCTATAACTGCAGGTTCCTGGGATGGCAGGTATCTCCTTGTCTCAATGTGTTTGCTTAATAGTTTAGAGGCTTCTAGAGATTTATTTATTTATTTTTTTTTTTTGTAGGAATGTAGACTTGCAGAACTGGTTGATTTAAATTTTTTTTTATATATATTAAATTATTATTTCTGTGTTGCGGTAGTTTTTATAGTAAATTATTGTTTTCATTTTTTTTTTTAACTTCTATCTTAGAATTATGCTTTAAATCTACTTAGGATCGTGGTTATCACTTGTCAGACAAGATGCTCTTTTGTGCTACATGCGTCTAGAGGAGTTACTAAGGGGATAAATTGCTGACATGATTATCGTGCAGGACACTTTGTACTTACACTATGGCAAACAGTACTTGAAAGATTGTTATATTGAAGGAAGTGTGGACTTTATTTTTGGCAATAGCACTGCTCTTTTGGAACATTGCCATATTCACTGCAAGTCTGAAGGCTTCATAACTGCACAGAGCAGAAAATCTTCTCATGAAACAACTGGATATGTATTCCTAAGGTGTGTAACCGACCTTTGTCTACATCTTCGCATCTATTCCTGTGCTTTAGTCATCACAAATCTCCCAAAGTGCTTTTCAAAAGCCAAATGTGAGTTTACCAAGCAGGCCAGTAGTTTAGTACATGATAAGGGAATTGAAAATATTTACTGGGTGTGAGGCAGTTTCTTCGCTGTCTTGATGCTTATGATTTTAGTAAATATTGCTAGTAGAAATGGTTTGTTGCAAGTGTACTATTACTATGTTGTTATTGAGGAATAATTCCTGATTTTTTGGAATAGCTAGTAATAGTAATAATGTCAAAATTGATTTTGAAATTATTGGGAGTGAGAGAATCTTTGTATTTGGTTTCTTAATGTGATGGGATTTATTTAATCAGGATATTTTTTTTAATTTATTCACTAGAGCTTTCTATTGTTTTTGCTGTCTCTTTTCCTGTTCAATTATCACATTTTGTTATTTCAGGCTTAGGGCTTAGTTCTTTTCTTGGTTGCCTGTTGATGGACTATATTATAAGTTGTTTTTGAGACAATTTTGGTGTTGAATGCGTGACAATTTTGTTTTTGGACTACTGTTGCAAAGGAGGCAACAGTGGCAGTGGCAGTGGAGAATAATGGGCGTGCTTACAGTGATAAGTGGGGAGGCTCAGCAATTGACACAACTTTCTGGTCCAACCTGTGGGGATGATATTTCACTAGAATTTAAATTAGGAACAAGAATCAATTAACCACACAAGATGAGTCTGATCTCTTCAGATGTCAAAGAAGACACAAGAAGAAAGAAGAATAAGGATTTCCATGAGTGAGGACTGAAGATTTTACTTAAAATCCTTCTGATGTCATAAAAAAAAACGGAAGGAAGGAAGGAGGGAAAGGAAAGGGAAAAAAGAAAGTAGGGGAAAAAAAACCTTAAATCCTCATACTTTATGTAAGAATCCTTATAAAGAAGGGACTTGGTAATCATTTAGTTTCATCAGCATAACCGCTTCTTGTCAGTTTCTTGTTCTTCGGATATCCTATAATTCCTATAATGATTTGTTTGATGTTACTACAACCCAAACTTAGAATGGTCTGCACTCATAATTCACATGCTAGGGCAATACTATTTAGAAGCTTTTGTCCTTTTTTTTTTTTTTTCAATTTTTGTCTTTTGGGTGCTTAGGTATTACATAATTTGGCCTTTGTTGGCTGTTGCCACTGCAGATGTGTCATAACGGGTAATGGAGATACTTCATACGCATATCTTGGACGACCATGGGGACCTTTTGGAAGAGTGATCTTTGCGTACACCTATATGGATCGATGTATAAGGCCTCATGGCTGGAATAATTGGGATAAAATTGAGAATGAGAGAACTGCTTGCTTTTATGAATACAGGTGGGTATCTTATATCTACTTTCATTTTGCCCTGTTTGATGCCTACCAGCATCTTATGGAATCGGTCTAGGTGTAACTGATATCTGGCCCATGGATTTAATCAATGTATCTTGTATATATCTAGGTGAAACCGAGACAGTTTGTTATGCTAAAGTTGTCTAGGATTTGACTTCCTTTCAACTTTCAAGTTATGCACTAATCTGCTTTGACCCATTAGACTTGGGAAATGCCTTGTTTGAACTACATATATGATCTTAAATACTTGTAAGTTGTCTCTACATGAAAAATTGATGTCTATTATCAAAACTGCAGATGTTATGGACATGGTTGCTGTCCATCCAAACGAGTAGCGTGGGCTAGAGAATTGATAAATGAAGAAGCAGAGCAGTTCCTCTCGCATCGTTTCATTGACCCAGATGCTAATAGACCTTGGCTTGCCCAGAGAATGGCTTTGAGGATTCCATATTCTGCTTAGAAGTTACTGATGGGATAATAGTAGAAAGTTCCAAGCAGTTCATTACATGTGCGCTACAAGTTCCCTGTTTGTGGAATTTATATGCCAATTATCTATATGATGACGTGGCTTGTGGGAGAAAAAGCTTATCGAATGATGCTCTTCCCATGCAGATATTTCTACTAGATTATCCTTTTTAGCAAATGAGTTTCGGGTTCTGATTTTCTTGAGACTTGGGGAAATTGGTTGGCTGCCGATTTTGAACTTCTTGCATGGAGTGACACTTCGCTGGATGCTGTTCTCGAAGGCTAAGTTTAAGCAAAGGCAAAATAATCTATAACGAACCAATCAGGATGCCACTAATAATTAGGTTTTGGAGAACTATCAGATTGCAATTTTAACCTAGCAAGCTTTGTAAACAAGGGTTTGTGGGAAAGGCATAAATAAACAAAAAAGGGAAGGGAAAAAAAACACAGGATAAAAAGTATGATTACATTATACTGTTGCTTTAAAAATAATTTGAAAGCCAAAATATCTTTACTATTGTAATTTATCGAATACAAAAGATGTTGGAAGATGGTCATAACATATGGTGTGATTTTCTTCGGTTTT